GATTTAGATGATAATGTATGTGCGTGTGTGTATGTATGTATGTGTGTGTGTGTGACAAACATTATGTTTGGTGGTTTTTCGTAAGTCGAACGCACGTAAAACCTTATTTACCAATGAAAATCAGACAATACAAAAGTAAAAGTACCAAAATTTCTTTCTTCTTTTACTCCATATCCCATTCTCTGATGAAGCTTTAATAAAATTGAAACATGTTAGATTGATAAACGTTTCCTATTTGTTCTTATTATTCTGTCTGTCAGATTCCGATCCATATTTGATTTATATTTGAGATTTATAATATATATATATATATATATATATATATATATATATAGAGAGAGAGAGAGAGAGAGAGAGGGAGGGAAAGACATTAACATACCGATGTAGAAGAACTAAGAAACGGAAAGAGAGAAAGTCAAAAGTATACAGAAATGGCGGTGAATAAAGAAAGGAAGAAAGTCAAAGAGAAAGAAATAGAAGGGTAGCGTAAACGTTATTGACATAGAAAATTGACTCGGCGAGCCAATTTTAAAGGCATGAACCCATTTCACCTTCAACCCAGCTATGAGTTAGATAATGACCTTTAAACTTGAATGGAAGCTAATTTAATAGAAGGGTGATTCTGAATTCAAAATCTATTTCATTATATCATAGGAAGTCATGGCAGGAATCAAGTTAATAAACAAAAGGATGCTGTGAAGAGCCATGATTTTCTCCATCCTAAATGGATATAGCATTAATAAAGAAAGAAATCGAAAAAGAAAGGGAAATAAAATAAAGAAATAGAAAATAAAAGAAAGAAAGAATGATAGGAAGGAAACAAGAAAAGGGAAACAGAAAAATAAAAGAGCCAAGAAGAATTGATTCAATAAAAATTAAAAAAAGTACTAAGGAAAGACCGAAATAAAAAGAGATAGACAAATAGGAAGAGAAAGAAAGAAAGAAAAAAAGAAAGAAAGAAATAGAAAAATAAGAGGATAAAGAAAGAAACAAAAAGAAAAAAATGAAACATAAAAAGAAAATAATGAAAAAAGGAGAAAGAAACAAAAATCAAAGAAACGAAGAATAAAAAAAAAGAAACAAAAAAATAAAAACAAAACAACAAAAAGAAAAAAAAACAGAAGAAAGAAACAAACAATCAAATAGAAAAATAACAGGAACAAATAAAAAACGAAAAAGAAAGACTAGAAAAAAAGAAGCAAAAAAAGAGAAAACTAAAAGAAGCAAAACATAAAGAAACAACAAGAAAGAAACATAAAGGAGGAAAGAAGTAAATAAACAAAGAAAAGAAAGAAAAAGAAAAAGAAAGGAAAAAAAGAAAAAGAAAAGAGAAACAAACAAGCAGAAAAATAAAGGAAAGAAAGAAAAGGAAAAAGAAAAGAAACAAAGAAAGGAAAAAAGAAAAAGAAAAGAGAAACAAACAAGCAGAAAAATAAAGGAAAGAAAGAAAAAGAAAAAGAAAAGAAACAAAGAAAGGAAAAAAGAAAAAGAAAAGAGAAACAAACAAACAGAAAAATAAAGGAAAGAAAGAAAAAGAAAAAGAAAAGAGAAACAAACAAGCAGAAAAATAAAGGAAAGAAAGAAAAAGAAAAAGAAAAGAAACAAAGAAAGGAAAAAAGAAAAAGAAAAGGCTAAACAATGAACGTTGGAAGTTGGGAAGAAATTCATCCCCGAGTGTAAGTATTACTTTTAATTCTTTCGTGGATTATAAAGTCATAGTGATCTCCCTCCTTTTTTTCTTACACTTCTCGTGTTCGTTGATTCAGTGTCTAATCTATCTGAAGACATTAACTCCCTCCACCAGCGGTACACGTGTCTTGTTCTTGTGGTGTGGCCAGACTCGTCACCGCTAAGACCACCTCCGTGCATACGGCATTTGAAAAAAAATCTAAAAAGTTTATAAAAGCAAATCATTATTTTTCCCCAGAGAAAGTGTTTAATCAATTGCTATAAATAAACGTTGATTTAAAAATCAAATCATCAATTAACAAGATGGTAACGAACAAAATAAACTCTACAGGCATTTTTTTCTTCTTATTTATATGTTAATTCATTTATTGAAAAGTAGCCCCTTTAACCGCGTTTTTTTTTTTCTGAAGTTTCAAGTACCCGCAGCCAATTCCAGAAAAAAATGATTTCGATTCTGTCTGATCGCAAGAGAATCGATATTCGCAATTCGGATATATAAAAAAGAAGCTGCAAAGTACATTCTTTAAGATGGGCCTTCTCGATTAAATAAGTAAAGGAAAAAAACGTATGCTCAGCTAGCTAAGATCTACGGTAAGAACGAATCTTCTGTCACACAACTTTCATTACAGCTTATTCTTATAACTGTTCTATTTTATTATTAGTTATTATTGTTGATATCTCATTGTACCTAATACGCTTACGGTTATATCACGTTGCAACACAAGTTCTCGTACGATCACCGAAGTTAAACAACGTCGAGCCTGGTTAGTATCTAGATGGGTGACCGCTTAGGAATACCAGGTGCTGTAAGCTTGGAAATGTGTGTAGTATAATGCCACGGAATTAGAATTAGATAGCCGAGTTCAAATTCCAATCGGGTTCGCTATAGTCACTTACGAAAAGTATAAATCCACCTCTTTCTCCGCCGACAACTATGGGCTAATTAGTAGCGCCTGTATCAATGAATCATTATTATCTCCAAATATTTCTTCTAATCTAAAAGTATGTTCTGGCTTTAAATAGACTGCAAAAGGTTGATAAACCGTAAAAAACAAATCAATCCATCATTGTGTCAAATAAATCTACGATGAGGACGAATCTTCTGTTAATAACTTTTATTACAGTCTATTGCTATATTTGTTGTTTTATTATTAGTTATTATTTTTAATTCTTTAATGTTCTTAATAAGATCCACGGTAAGTACAAATCTTTTGACATTCTGTTAACATAGAACTTACGGTTACATCTAGTAAATTCACCTGTGAATTGATGAGACCTTGCCGTCAGTATAGTATTGCACTTAAATTCATAAAGTCTAGCTATCATAGCGAAGAGTGATATTTATTTGTAATTATTTACAAAATGTGGTACAAGGCCAAAATGGGGAATGGGAAAAATGGCGGTCTTCATCTGTCTTAACTTTAAACTTAGCTAGCCACAAACACTGACACAAACATACCACAATATTCCTAACACCAAAACAACGCATTTTTACGTACCTTTCTTACTACACCATAATACCTCATTGTCTCTATGAAAGTCCTAACTAGGCCCCATATGTACAATTCATTGTCTGTGGGGAGGAGGGAAATAAAACAATTTTAAAAAAAGAGTTCATCTGAATAATTATCACGTAAGTATTTATAGAAAAGGCACAGGGTAGCAACTTTACGACGTTGGGAAAGTGATTGAAATCGAGACACCCGGTCAGGACCAATAATATTGGGGATTCTACTTTCGATTTTATCAAGAATCTCTAAATATGCAGCAGGAGCACCAGGCCATATGTGGCAGCAATATTCAAAGCATGGATGAATGGTAGACTTATAGATATGTATGATAGATTCTGGAGGGAAAAACTTCTAACACGACACATTGAGCCAACTTTCTTAGCAGCAGATTGAGCAATGGATTTAATATAATCTTACCACTTCATGGCATCCAAGAATGTTAGCTTTTTAGTGGATACCAATATTTGAGTAGACACTCCGTATATTTTAAACGGTCTTTATTTCGTCTACCGGCCTGCGTACCCAAGAAAACTTGATAAAGATAACGTGCACTCCGGCAGGCCGATAAACAAAATAAATACGGTTTCAAATAAGCAGGGCGTCTACTCAAATACGGAAATACGGACAACCACTAAAAATAACGTCTGAAGTATTAGAAATATGTCGGATTTAAAACTATAATCGATTTTACACACACACACACACACACACACACACACACACACACATATATATATATATATCAAGTATGTGGTGTGCAGTTCAATTTACATTACATGAATCATTCATACAAAAAGCAGATATATCTGTTTTTTTGTATGAATGATTCATGTAATATATATATATATATATATATATATATATATATATATATATATATATATATGATAACTACAACTTTCAAAAATTCAACGTAAGTCGCCATCTTCTGTTTTCTTGAACCCAGTTCCTTTTTGTCCCTTCCCAATCCTCCTTATTTTAAGTCTTCTCTTTCATTTTCACTCCTTGTTACTCCTTGCGTTCTAGTGGGATTATCGCCTTGCTTGGGATGGAACGATTAATATATGTATATAAAAAAAAAACCAACTAGCATAAACCCTTGCACTCTCAACTATGACAGTGAATGTCCTATTAGAAAATAGCTATTACACGAAACTTAATAATCTGTGTAAAAGCAAACTCTTCAACAAGAAAAATTTTCTATGCTGAATTAAAAAAAATATTAAACAAAACCTCATTAATAATGACTTTCCTGATTAAATTGTTGATTAACAAATTAGAGCTATAGGGAATATAAACATAAATAAAAATGAACATAATACTTCATCAAATAACATATTGAACTATTATACCGTTATCAGATGCATTCTGACTATAAGTAGGAGGGAAAAGTTCCCAAAAGACTCATAAACATTAATAAATACCCCACTGATCCAAGTAAAAAATTAAAATTAATTATATACTATACTAAATTTAATATATATTTATTCATACATTATTTGTAGGATTTAATCCATTTCATCTATATATATATATATATATATATATATATATATATATATATATATATATATATATATATAAAAATAATGTCGTTTTTTGACGTTCAACTTCAAAAGATCATAACTCCTTCATAATAAACTTTATTAATCGAAATAAGAACCATTAGAATCGACACATTTTTGCCAACGAGAAACAAGTTTATTTATCCCATTAGCATAGAAATGGAGTTCTGGAAGTGATGAAGTCATTGAAGGCCGATTCATCATCTCGGCTTTTGAAGCATTTTTCGCGCAGGAAGTTGTCGAGATGCTTGAAAAGTGATAATCGGTGGGCGAGAGGTCCGGTGAATATGGCGGATGAGGCAGAGTCTCGTAGCCAAATACGTTCAGCTTCTGCAGGGTCAGTTGAGCAACATGCGGGCGAGCGTTGTCATGGAGGAGAATTGGTCCCTTCATATTGACCAATCTCGGGCACATACGTTGGAGCTTCTGGTGCATTTCGTCAATTTGACGGCAGTACTTCTCCGCCGTAATCGTTTCGCCCGGATTCAAGAAGCTGTGATGGATGAAACCGACCGCAGACCACCAAACAATCACCATAAACTTTTTTTGGTGCAATTTCGGCTTCGGGAAGTGTTGTGGAGCTTCTCCGGCATCCAATCACTGTGCCGAACGTCGCCGGTTGTCGTAGAGGATCCACTTCTCATCACACGTCACAATCCGCTCGAGAAATGGATCGTTATTGTTGCGCAGAAGGAGCGTAGAAGACACCTCAAAACGACGATTTTTTTGATTATTGTTCAATTCATGCGGCACCCATTTATCCAACTTTTTTGACTTCCCTATTTGCTTTAAATGGTGAACGACTGTTGAGTGGTCGACCTCGAATTCAACAGCAACTTCTCGTGTAGTTTTGCGAGGATCGGCTTCAATTAAGGCTTTCAAATGTTCGTTATCAACCGCAGTCGGCCGGCCGCGATCGTCTTCATCTTCGAGGCTCTCGTCACCATTGCGAAATTTCTTGAAACACCGTTGTGCCACACGTTCGTTAGTGGTTCCTGGGCCAAACGCATCATTGATATCACGAGCTGTCTCGGCAGCTTTTCGGCCTAGTTTGAACTGGAACAAGAAAATCGTGCGGATTTGAATTTTGTCCATGCTGTCGAAAAGCCTGCAAAAAATGAATGAAGAGATTGAGAACGGTAACAAATAACACGATTTGACAGAGCGAAAAACGCGCTTCAAAATGCTATATAACATGGCTATATATATATATATATATATCAATGAATTAATTCAGAAATCATATATAAAATAACATATGTGAGAAAACGACATTATTTTTGCACCAACCTAATATAAAATTTATATTATATAATATATATAGAAACTATATATATATATATATATATATATATATATATATATATATTCCGTTTATACATTATTTATCGGACTTAATCCATTTCATCTAATACACACACACATATATATATATATATATATATATATATATATATATATGGATGGATGGATGAATAGATTTTCATATGAGTTTTGAACAGCATGTTCCTCACTTGTGGTTGTGCCTTTTTATGACTTTTAAGGTCACCTTGACAACCGTTCAACATTCCATATATAGGACAAGGAACACAACCCCTCGAGAAGGCACCAGGAATGTTAGGGTGGTTTACAGTGTTCTGCTTTGTAATGCGTAGATGGTCAATCCGTGACCTCTCAAAGGTTGTATTGCCTTTTATGCGCACACTTCTCCACTTGACACGATCAGAAGCCACTTCCTCCACGGACGACAAAGGGATGGCAATAGAATTTAGGCTCTGCTTTAAGACTTCCTTGTACCTCAACGGGGGGAGTCTTCCTACGTTTCGTTAACCGTCACACAGTTGACTATATAGAAAGACTATATCACGCTTATACGCAACATGACCAACCCAACGAAGTTGCGACCGCATTAGAAATGTTGCTTTGCCTTAAATTTCGCACTTTGAAAACAATTTACTATTAAATATTTTGTATTCCAGACTATAGCAACTGATTGTACGAAGGCCCCCACTTATGGAAGGCATCAATGTGATTCCACTAGGGTGTCCCGGATTCAGAGCCACAGAGAAACGTTGCAATTACTACAGGTCATTATACATCAAGTTTGGTTAAGTTTTTGAAGATTATATATATATATATATATATATATATATATATATGGTGGACTCTCCCTTCGTATTCAACGTATGACGGTCAAGCTCAGTTCCTAGGAATCGACAGCCCATATGATTTGATTTGATTATAGTATTGATTTGTGCAGAACCAACCACACTTTTTGAAGGCCCTAATACAGAGACCTGGTGCATTACGTGCCACAAGGTCCCCAAACGACTCTCTGCATTCAGGCCGGTAAATGTAATTAATACTGTTTAATTAAAAAAAACGGAGCATTTACTTTAATAAATTATATCTATAAAAAACGTTTAAACAGAAAATATACTAAATAATTGTCAGAATTAATACATTTCATAATATATATATATATATATATATATATATATATATATATATATATATATATATAACATGCCATATTTAGAATAAGACATATATAAATACGTACATATATATTTGGGCGCCTCGACGTAATCTAATGGTTAGTATTAAGGATAAATTTCGACTGTGCAGGGAGTTTGATCCTCACTGGGTGCTTCTTTTTTCGGCTTTGGGCCATATCTTAGCTACGCTTGTAAAATCATATATATATATATATATATATATATATATATATATAT